TTTGACCCAGCGGTTGGGTTCAAAACAACCCAACCGCTGGGTCAAAACAACCCAATAGCTGGGTTTGTCCCTTTTTAACCCAGCGCTGGGTTATATTTAACCCAGCATGTTTTAGAGTGCACTGAGATTACTTTTATTCAGCATTCAAATAGAGGACTTAAACACGCAAGATCAATAAACAGGCTCTGCATCAGAATTGTAATTGCACCCACACTGATATATTCTGAGCAGTAATCAGTAGGACAGGAAATTTAATGCATGTCTTTCTGTGTTTGCTGCAGCATTTTGACGACAAAGCAGCCAAGTGACTTCCTCTAGAACGAAGTACTTCTGAGAAATTATATGATTTATATTAAACAGGCAGTATACTTTTCAGAGAGAGAAAAAGAGAGTGAAAGCGAGAGAGAGAGAGAGAGAGAGAGAGAGAGAGAATAATTACAGTTATTACATAATGTTCAAGACAGAAGTGCCTCCCATCAAAGTCTTGGGATTTTTAATGACCACAGAGAGTCAGGACCTCGGTTTAACGTCCCCATTATAGTGTCCCCATCACTACACTGGGGCGTTAGGACCCACACAGACCACAGGGTGAGCACCCCCTGCTGGCCTCCCTAGCACCTCTTCCAGCAGCAACCTAGTTTTCCCAGGAGGTCTCCCATCCAGGTACTGACCAGGCTCAACTCTGCTTAGCTTCAATGGGCAACCAGTTTTGGGCTGTAGGGTGATATGGCTGTGGTATTCTGTATTCTGAGCAGAGTTGATTTAACTCTGGGGATTTTGCTGTGTAACCTTTTCTGTGGTTTTCTTGTGTGTGTATGACATCGTCTAGTGACATTTAACAACTTTTCAAGCATGCATAAGCTTCTTTCCATTGAAAGTAGCTGGCAACCGTGCAGCACTGCAACATCAGTGAATAGCCTACTAGGAAATGTCTGACCACCAAATGCTGTAATTTGAAAAATATTTAGAATAGAAATCAAGGTACTGATTTAACTGAAGAAGAATTTGCGTTTGATTTCACCATCCTTATACTCAACATGTTAGAAATCGGCGGTGACACGGTAAGGAAGTTTCAGCCAGTATTACTCCACAAAGTCTCCATCCTGCTCCTAATTTGGAGACATTCCAGCTAGAAATGTCTGTGTCTACATGGGCTTATGGAATCCCCCTTATTTTCCCTTTTCCCTTAAGAATGTTGTCTATACTTTAGCAGCTGATGGAAATTGAAGGGGTTTTCTCTGCCTTTTGCATTGCAGCATTTACTGAGTTGCAAGTCATTGCAAAGCACTAATTAAAATCCAGACTTTCAGGATTAACTGTTTTTTTTATCCTCATTTTTTTATAATGTAACCTCATTATTAACTTTTTTTAATTCTTCAAAAAATAACAAACCAAAGCAAATTACCCTACATCTGTTGTCTGCTCTAAAGATTGTTCATAAAAAAGAGAGATATGTCACAAATGAATACAAAGCAGAGAGAGAGAGAGAGAGAATAATTACAGTTATTACATAATGTTCAAGACAGAAGTGCCTCCCATCAAAGTACTGTGCCTTAAAAGTATTTTGACTTTAGTATTTCATGCTTGTGCTTTAATAAATATAATTAATTAAAGTTTGCAATGCAGACAGCCAAGTGAAACTGATATTTTATTTCATATTTGATTCTCAGATGGGAAAGTACATGACATGTTACTGACATGATGTCAATAATTCCTTTTTCACAACACATCCTTCATTGTGAGAATAGGATAAAGAAAGAACTTGAGAACAAATCACGAACAGCAATCTAGTGCAATCTAGTGTACGCTGAATATATCAGAGCATTTGGAGGTCAGTTAAATAAAAGAATCAATTTAGTCTCCAGTTTTTCAGGCACTATGTATGAAAGCAGATGATTTTTAGAGATTTGGTTATTGATTTCAAGATCAATCAACACAGGCGGATCCGTGGATCAGGACATTGGCTCTATGCTTGATTCATACTGCGGCCTTCTGTGTGTTTCTGCTAAGAGAAGACAGAATGAATAGTACTTTTTTCGGAAGTGAAAGTAAAAGTGACTGTGAAAGTGAGGCATCCCATACTCAGAATTTGTGCTCTGCATTTAACCCATCCAAGTGCACACACAGCAGTGTGTAGTGAACACACAAACACGGAGCAGTGGGCAGCTATTTTGCTGCAGCACCCAGGGAGCAGTTGGGGGTTCGGTGCCTTGCTCAAGGGTCTCGCCTCAGTCGTGGTATTAAGAGTGGAAGAGAACACTGTTCATTCACTCCCCCCACCAACAATCCCTGCCAGACCTGAGACTCGAACCCACAACCTTTGGGTTACAAATCATACTCTCTAACCATTAGGCCACGATTGCCTCATTTCCTAGCATTCATTTCAATGCTCTGGCAGTGCAGGCCTGATGTTTATATTTTTTAACTGAATTTCAAGGAAATAAATATATTTGCATGCTGACATTTTTTGAATGGCTGTCAGTATATACTTCTTGGTAAATCTTGACCCTGGATTCAAGCATTTCTGCCCTGCTCCTCTCATAGTGACACTTCACAAACAAGACACAAAGAAAATTGGCAGTTATTTGATATCTAAGACAAAGCATTTATGTATAAACAAAAATAACATGTTTACACAATCTCCAGTCTTTTACAAGAAGGACTTGGAAGGATGATTTCAACCTTCTCGATTGCCTTTGTATAGATTGAGAGTACAATGCTTTTCTATACACACACACACACACACATTTTAAATTCCGTTCACAAAGGGGAGAAGGTATAGTGCCCCTGAACAAGTCAGTTATAAGCTGTTCTAAGATAACTGCCAATTTCACACAGCAATCATCAGCTAAATACCTACACTGAAAATCAAGCACTTTACATAACAGAAAAAACTCACTCATTCGCTCTAACATAACAATTTTAATAAATACATATTATAGTTCAATCAATTTAATAACATACAGTACTTACTGTCATTATATTTTGACTGTATATAGGGGCATAGTTTTCAACATGAATATAATCCTATAAACTATTCAATAGTTATTCAAAATACATACACAATAAGTGATTAGAACATGCTAGTCAAATGTGTGGGTTACATACATAA